TATATTATTATATAATTAAATAATTGATTTTTGAACTAATCAATATTCTTTGCTGATACCACTGCTTGTGGCAGAGAGTTCCATAATGTAACTGCTCTAACTGAAAAAAAGCCCCTACGCCCCTTGTGGATAAATCTTTTCTCCACCAATTTCAGGTGGCGGCCTCTGATCCTTGTTATGGAGTTTACAGTAAAAAGTTTAGTACCGATGTTGCCATCACCACTGTACAACAAAATCATGTCCCCTCTTAATCTCCTCACTTCCAGCGTGAACAAGTTTAAATTCAGCAACCTTGTCTCATAGTCTTGTGTAAAGCCCCTTAATTAGCTTGGTTGCTCTTCTTTGGACCTTCTCCAGATCAAGGACATCTTTTCTGTGCATTGGTGACATTCAAGATGAGGTTGAACCAGTGATCTATAAAGTGGCAAAAATTAAGGGCACAGCATTTATCCAATCATTAGCGCAAGACCAAGGCACCAAAAATACTATTAAAAAATGTTCACTAGTGCATGGATCAAAGTCATCTGAACAAAATAGTTGTTGACAAGTGTATAGTACAGGTGTGCATCCCTATTAGTCCCCATGCTCCTCCCCTTATGCTGGACAGTTGTGAACGGGCCAACTTTTCACACTGCTGCCTCCCACCCTATACTATTGGGCCATCAATATGAGGATCTGCTTCAAGGGCCAATAGGAATGTGAGGCAGGAAGAGGGTGAAGTAGAAGGGTGTGGGCAATATTTGACAATTCCTGGAAATGCCAAACTTTGTCCAGTTAGAATGGCCTGGCATTCTGGCAGAGCAGGGATCACAATAAAGCTCCACTGTGTCGCATAGAATGCCCATGCACACCAAGGATTTGTAGCCTTCAGGAGTAGGGGGTGATTTTATTTTATTTGCATAACCCCTATCCATATGGTTTACCCCGTCCTAACAGGGTGCCAGCCTAAGTACAAGAGGACAGTTTTTACATAATCAATAACAAAAAATACCAGGGCATATCACTTATGCATCCAGCCTCCATCAGGGTTCACTTTAATGCCAAGACAATCAGCTGTGCATGCTCATCTTCATTTCATTTCTTTGCTGCTCCGTTTGACCAGTGGGGAGTAAAAAGAGTTAAGTTGGCCATACACCTATAGATTATCTGCAGATTTTCTATGGTCAGATGGAAAACAGATTCCTCCATCTACGCTAAACTATGTGGATGGAGGAATCTCCCACTGGGCCAAGCTACAGTATTTTGCTAGCCGGCCCCACTGGCTCTCGAAATACCTGAACAATGCCGGCATCCAATCAGATTGTTCAGGTATTGTGACAGCCAGCGGGACCGACTAGCAAGATACTGAAGCTTGGCCCAGTGGGAGATTCCTCCATCCACACAGTCTAGCGTAGATGGAGGAATCTGTTCCACGTTTGCCATCTGACCATAGAAAATCTGCAGATAATCTATAGGTGTATAGCCAACTTTAGACTTGTGCAAGCTCCAAGTTTTGACTGAGGGCTAACACAGGTCTGAGAACTTTCTTCAGCCCCCCATGGGACAACAACAGGTGTCATAGTTGTGAGTAGTTAATTGCCAAGCAATAGTGTTGTTACATTGGAGGAAGTTAATTGAGTCACATGTTCTCCCATACCCAGAAGTATAAGGCATTTGCTTTGCTCCTGGCAGCTTAGCAGAACTGCTGGTGGAGCCAATGTTAAAATGAACCTGTTGTTTTGTGTATAATCAATTACAAGTTCACTTTAATAACTGGTCAACAAAGGTGAAAAAGGTGCATGTTGTTTTTTGAGGACACTGTCCTCAATTATTGCAATACGCAGAATTGTCTTGTCCTTAGTATTTTGTCATTGGATCGCTGAAGTGATACCTAGGAAATTCTGCTTAATTCATGCATTATAGAGTAATAAACATTAAACAGCCCAGCTTCCAAGGCATGCATCAATATTTAATCAGTATTAATCAGTATCAGTATTTAATTTGGCACACATTCCCTCTGTTATCTTGTCCTCTCCAGACCTATGAACAGTGATTTCTGGAAAAACGTGGGGGGAAAAAATGTTTAAGTGCTGGTACAGTGTGTTCATATACTGACCCTGGGAATCTGGTCACTTTTGTTGCTGTCACCTTGTACTATGGGGTACCTCATACTCTACATTTCTTTGACCTGTCTCATCCATGTCACCTGGGGAAGCCCCTTAGACTGCAGCACAGGAATAAGAGGAGGTCAGCTATGGAAGTCTCCAAGACCAGTAGGATATACATGCCTACGCAATTATTTCCTAGAATGCAGCTGGCTGGTGTAAGCGGTAGTGAAGGAGAGGAAAGAAAAGCAAGTTGTCATCTCATGGCTACAGGTAGTTTAAAACAATGAAAAGAATCACATGTTGAACGCAGCAGATATTTATTCATGGCAGGAAAAAAATATTTTTACTTATAGCAATCGGATTTGGTAATATATCATGTTTTATTTATGTGTATTTAGGTGTTAATTTTATTTATTTAATTAACTATTTATTCGTGTAGGCATTCATTGAAATAATTGGTTAACTTTCATTTCCAACTTCAGGCAAAACTTGTTTGTCTTGGATAGAGTGGAGAAATGTTGGACTTTTCTATTGCTTTCAGTTCCCCCACTAGAGAGATTTCATAACACTTCCTATCCTGGTAGTGGACATTTCTGTTTCTATGGGCTCCTCCAAAGATGCTACAGAGGGCAGTGTATTTATTACACATCAAGAGGGCAGAGTGTTGGGCAGAATGTTGGGATAGAAATAAAGATGAGAACAATTAGGGTAATTTCCTAGTTCAGATTTTGGACTAGCAGTGCATTTGTATGGTAAATCGGATAATATTTAACAGGACCAGTGGTTCTTGGATGCTGTAGTGGTTGTAATAATGATACATGACTAATGAAATCAAATAAACCTCACACATATAGCATTCTCCTCTAACCTTCTTGATCCCTTTCCCTCACCATTTTAAAAGAGATTTACAGATATGGAGGGCAGATAACATACTGGAGACATATAAGACTAAAAGTATATCTATGCCCCAAACCTCCAGATAGAGTAGGGAATGGTTAAAACCTTGTTAGGCTGATTTTTGCCATCTGTTTCCCATTCAATATATTTCTCTCCACTTTCTCTCCTGGAGACACATGAGGAAATAATTGGAAATATATCCAGACTATATCCAGTGTCAATCCCCTAACAGATGATTGTCACGTAAACAAGTGGAAGATTTTCTCGCTATTGCTGTTCAGACGGGAACTCAAAATTTTGTATTTCATTCAACTTTCAATCCTGATGTCAATGGGGACCCAACAAAAACCTGATGGAGGATCTAACCTCTCACCTTTCCATTCAAAACAAGGGTTGAGGTTTGGGTACACCAATAATATAAAGCGATAGATAAACCAGCCGATGGATAGCGCACATGATAGTGTGATAGGGGCCTTAGACTTCAATAGAGTTTGTGAACATTGACCAAGATACGCCAAACTGTCCAGGAACCTAACTCCTATCCAAAACAAGAGAAAAAAAGATTTTGGCTTTAGATACCCCTAAGATCAGTTAAACCCCTGTACATTTGCAGACAATTCTGACTAGATTGTGCAATATACCTTATATACTGTACATAAGATAACTTGTTTTGTCTTGTTCCTGTAATATTCCTCCATCATTTCCCAACAGCTGAATGGACTGTGGAACCTGAAGGCAGTCATAGGTGCATCTGACCTACCTAAGTTAACACACTCTTACTCAAACATAAGAGTGTCCGAGAAAGAAGCTCGTTTTTGGGGATTCCTCAGTCCGTAAGTTCACACACTCGCATTCTGCACACAAAGAACACATTTTGGTTTTCTAAAGGCATAGAGCATGTTCCCTTTGCAAAGTGAATTTTGACTTATCTTTCTTTATGCAATAAAAATCGGGTCTATTTATGAACAATTCACAGCACCAGCGCGACAGCCATCTGCTCTGTATCCGGTGCTCTCCGTACCCGGCTGTCACAGAGCTCCCTGTGTAATCTGCAGGACTGAGCTATCAGTTTCCTGCTCTGCATCTATTAATGAATGAAAGCTACTATTGTATCTTTCATTTTTGAATTATTCTTAGGTGTAAATAAAGAAAACACTTTAAAAACAACTGCGTGGCCCTTTATCAACCCTTAGGTGCCTATTTATAAAGCAGGTAATCTGATATTCACCAAACATTCACTATTCACTGCAAGTGATTGTTCCAGGTGCATGTGCTTTAACCCTTTTGCTGCCAATAACATATCCTCTACATCACTAGCAGCGGGCCCCTGGAAACAGACTGCTGGCAGGTTATAGCCGCTGTGACTCTGTTTAACTGTGTAAAGCCGAAGGTTGCTATATCCAGGATCTACATCTTGAGTCCATCACATACTTTAATCTTCCAAAGAAAATCAAACTTTATTCCACATGCATCTATACAAAAAACAACGGCTGATGCATTGCTGCCTTACTCGGCCTTAGTCATAGCTATGACTAAGACCAAGTATGGCAGAAACGCGTCAGTGGTTGTTTTTTCTATAGATGCATGTGGACTAGAGCTTGATTTTCTTTGGAAGATCATCGTGTGCTGGTTCTTAGTTTTTAAACATAGTATATGTCCTCCTGTGATTCTTAAGAGAACTATGGGGAAAAAAAGGTTGGGTCATAGTTTTTTTTAACTGATGAATGTACGCTGATGTCATATCAGTAAGCAGAGCTTTATGCTGATGTGATTTTTAGTAAAAGGAGGTAACGGTCCACTTTAAGTACCAGAATCCAGTCTAAAGAATATTTTTCCTTTGTCGGCCTGAGTAAGAACCTAGGTATGAAAAGCACACACTTCTGTCAGCAGGGGCTCTAGGAGTTACACAATAGGTGCCAAAAGGACACATGTTGGCTGCATGTTGGGTGCAACGACTACACACTATAAACAATCCTGTAGGAGATCCAAGTTTCCAAATGGAAGTTGCCGAGTTTTGTGCAAGTCTGGGATTGGTTAAAGTCTTCGTTCAACTTTTTATAGATAAAGCCAGGAATGTTTTTAATATTTGCTTTCATAATTGCAGCATGACTCATTTTGATGGTGGGATTGTTGGGTTATCAAGAATTCAATTTGAGGAGGGAAGCCTGGCTTACCACTATGAAACGGTCAAAGGTGAGACAAGGCTATGCCTGCCATAGTGAGCATTAGATGTGTCATCTGTAGCTGAAAGTGATGTGAGAACGGCTGCAGTGTGCTCAGATTATAACTCCTCTGCTTCTCCTCTGTTTTAGGAATCACTAACATAATGACATTTACTCAGACTCAGCCTGACAGTGTAATCCTACAGCTGAGACCAAATAACAAGCTGAAAGTCTCTGCTCTATACAGTAAGTATACTTATACCTGTAATAGCCACACGGGGCATTACTCTACTATTTATTGAAAGCGATATACACTGATCAGCTATATCATTATGACCACCCGCCTAATATTGAGTAGGCCCCACTTTTGCCACCAAAACAGCCCTGACCCATCCAGGCATGGACTCCACTAGACCTCTGAAGGTATGCTGTAGTATCTGGCACCAAGCCGTTAGTAGCAGATCCTTTAAGTCCTGTAAGTTGCAACCTTTTTGTTTACCTTTGTCACTGAATTTCTATTCTGCTCGGTACCACGGAGGTACCGAGCAGAATAGCCAAACCGAATGGTGCTCGGCGGCATTCGGCTATTCACCCACGGCCCCTATGAGAATAGGCCGAACGGCAGCGAGTAGCCTGCTGGAGGTTTGGCTCAGCCGATCCAGATGTTGGATCACCTGAGGCGAACTTCTTCTTTACTTCGGCTCAGTTGAACATGCTGAGCATGTTCGGCTGAACCGAACATGCTCAGCCGGAGCAAGCCGATGTACGGCTGAAATCAGCTGTACAAGCCTGAATTGTTCGGCTCACTTCACTTCGGATGGGTTATTCACTCGGCTGCCTTCGGCAGCTTTGTGAATAAAGGTGGCCATACACTGTACAACCATCGCAAGACCTTAGTCTTGCGATGGTTGTAAAGTACTTAAAAAAACGTACGATCTGCCCATCTTGGACAGGCAGATCGTACTCTCGATCATCGCAAGCCCGCCCCCCTGAGGGGCGAGCTTATGATGACTGCAATGAGGGGCGGGCTTAAGATGACTGCAAACGGGCTGTGTGCGCGTGCGCACACCGGCCCATTCGGCAGTTGTCGAACCAGCAGGCCACTAACTCGCCGAGAATCGTACGATTACCGGCGGGTTTTCTAGCCTGCTGGTTCGACGGAAGACGTGCGACCGTACAGTAGAAACGGTCGCACGCCTTCCATACACTACACGATTCTCGCACTATCGCGGGATTTCCCGCGATTCTCGTACGAGAATCGTGCAGTGTGTGGGCACCTTAACCCTCAAAATGTTCACTTGCTGGCCACTTCCAGGTGCCATTGTAATGAGATAATCAATGTTATTCACTTCACCTGTCAATGGTTATAATGTTATGGCTGACTAGTGTATGGTTGATATAGGCAGCCTTTTAAGAGGCCTGCAAAGCTTTTCCTGTATCTAGTTCCACTCAGCCTGGCTTGGTGAGCATAGCGCATGCCACTGGAAAGACATGTTCCTATTCAATTGCATTGCACTACACTTAGCAAAAGAGCCAAACATGCATGCATAGAGAATTCAGTGTATCCCACAGCAGGATGGGGGAGGTATTTCATATAAGTCTTTTATGTTTAAAATGAAAAAACATGCTGTACCTGAGCTCTCTCATGTGCCTAGGCAAAGATCACATGGTCTCTGGATACAGCCACTGCAGAATCTCCTTTGTTTTCAATCAGACAGTCCTTGTCTGGTAGACTTGCTGTAAGCTTAGAAAGGTATTACAGACTATGCAGAGAATCCACATCTCTAAGATGTTAACGCAAACTGTTAAAATTATGGTTCCTTTTTGTTTTAGCAAGTTCCCTCGTTTTTTCATGTTGATTACATTTTTCCTTTAAAAGTGTTTCCTTTACCACAATAAGGAGTTCTTCCGCCATCTTGTGGTACTTTTATGGTACTACAGTTGGTAGCAGGTCAAGACTCTTTTAGACTCCAATCACATTGTGCTACAAGCTTTATCAGCGCTGTTTTGAACGGGGCAAATTTGAGCGACATTGAGCTACATTGCATATTTTGTTGCGCTTCTTTCAGCAGTCTATCAAAGGCCCCGTTCACACTTAGCGATTTATCGCACGGTAAGTCCCGCGATATCGCGGCAATTTACCGCGCGATATGGCTCTCCAATGCTTCTCAATGGGGCAAAGGGTCCTGCTGTCGCGGGTCGCTACAGCAGGACCCTTTTTGGAGCGGATTTAGCCGCAATTCAAGCTTGCTCGATATCGTGCGTCATATCGCGCGATATCGCGCAAAATGCAAATCGCGCGACAAACACGCGATTTGCGAATCGCGCAGTGTGAATGGGGCCTAAGTCTATTGGGGGCCGAAAAATAGCTCGTGTTGGAGCGGCAAGCTTCAGCTACAAGCTACAGGCGACATTGAGCTGCAGGATCTGAACATCTCCATTGAAATGCATTGGAAGAGCTACACTGAGCTTCATATTTGCGTGATTTTTGAGCGGAAGCGCTCAGTGTGAATCGGGTCTTAGATGCTTTTTTAACATAAAAAAGGCAGACTGTCTAAATAACTTCATTTAAACAAGATGAAGTCTGAGACTCAATATCCCC